GGCTTCTGTTCAGCCGGCTGTCACTGACTACTGGACGTGGCATCGTCGACTTGGACATCCCTCCAAAGAAGCTATTTCGCGTCTGCCTGCGAACTCTAAAGGTGTTGATCATATCGATCCTCCGCCTGCTAACGCGCCTGTCTGTGAAGGCTGCGAGTGGGGCAAGTCTCATCGACTACCGTTTCCTCCCTCTGAGAAGCGTGTAACCGTCCCTGAGGCAAGGCGGGACCTAGGAAGCTGGAAGGGGGCAGGGAAAGTGGATCGGGACGTGGACGGCGGCACTTGGATCGGAGCGCGGATGGCGGGACAGGGGGACAACGGGGGGATGCGGGTCGAGAGGGGGACGGCGGGATGGGGATCACGAGGAGGCGACCGGCTGTAGCAACATTATCATGAGCACATCAAAGAAAGATGCGCTCAGTCGTGCGAGGAGCGCAAGGTTGGGGAGGAGGAGATTTTAGTACACTAGCTAGCGAAGGGCCATCGGGCTATGGGCTCTATGGCATATCCTCAAAATCAGTATGTTTTGGGGGGTGCTACGTCAATACTACTCAACAACATGGGCAAGAGCTTCCAAATCACATATTTCCGACCGTACATTCTTGTCACAGCCAACGAGCTGTGCCACCAAAACAAACAAGGGCAAAGCTTACTGATGCAGAGGTTGGTGCTGAGAAGCGAAGCAACCCGAGGTGACACAGCAAGAGATGTGAAGAGGTGTATTCCCTAGACTAGAAGGGGCAGTAGAAGGTAGGGCTGCTAGCTACCTACAGAGGAGATGGGGGATCGATGAGAAGATCAAGTCTGAGGTTCCCTGCCTCAGACTCCCTACTATATATACTAATACAACGGTGCACAGACCAGGTACCTATTGACCATCGTTTGGTCAGAGTTCTCTGCCTCATATCCTACCCTCTGACCTGCCTCATGGTGACCTTACGACTAATACCTGAGTCGTGCCGAGTCCGGACTCCTTCCAATGAGTAAGTGCTCCTGCTGTCACATCAGTCACCTGCCAGTGAGTGAGGATGGGCGCTCCTGGCCGTCACGAGGTCTGGGGTTCGATCCTGGCCCCTCCACTTTCCGATACGAGTTGTCCGTGGTCAAGGTGAGCATCTGTCCTGGTTCACATGACCCCCAGGTCACGTGGCACGAGAAAACTGTGACACTACCCCCTCTTCAAGATCTGAGCTCCTGCGAAGCGTTCAAACCAGATATTGCGTTGAAACTCCCGGGCAACTGGTCGTGGATTGTTGAGAGCGATTGGCTGCGGTGCGTTTGGATGAAGGGCATGGAATTCGTCGAGTAGTTCCTTCACATATTTGACATTGCGTACAGGTTCCCAGATTGCTTCAGAAACGTCGTAGCCGGCCCATTTGACAAAGTATTGCACGTATCCGCGGTTGACACGAGAGTCTAGGATCTTTTCGACCTCAAACTCGTCGTGGCCTTCAACTTCAATGGGGTCAGGCTTCTCCGGATTGCGGTTGCCCATCGTGTCTTCATGGTAGGGGATGAGCTTCGAAGCATGGAAGACGGGATGGACCTTGTTCTGCAGCAGCAGTTTGACTCTGAAGTCGACAGGTCCAATCTTTTCCGTTATTTCATACAGCCCATAGTTCTTGGCTGAGAGCTTGGCTGACGAGTTACGGATCTTGAGGTCGCGTCCCTTGAGCAAAACTTTGTCACCGACTTTGAAGGGAGGGTCCACACGGCCCTGGTCGTAGTACCACTTCAT